CTATGATCACGTTCCTACTGATTACAATCTGCTTGTTCACTGGGTCGAACAACTTGTAACCTCCTGTCGAATGATATCCAACTAGAATCATTTCACTTGACTTGTCATCAAGTTTTCTTCTCAATTGATCTGGCACATGTCTATGTGCAATAGATCCAAATACCTTCAGATGAATCAAGCTAGGCTTCACACATGACCAACATTCTTTTGGAGTAATTCCTTCTAGCTTCTTCGTAGGACATCTGTTCAAAATGTATCTTGCAGTCGACACAACTACACCCCAAAACTCTTTAGGTAAATTCTTTCCTTTCAAAATACTTCTCACCATATTCATAATGGTTCGATTCTTCATTTCTGTAGTTCCATTATGATGTAGAGTATAGGGTGGCACCACCTCATGCATAATCCCTTCCTTTTCACATAATCTGTCGAATTCTTTTGACACACACTCTCCATCACCATCAGTTCTCAAAACTTTGAGTTTTCGACCACTTTGTCTTTCGACCATGGACTTAAACTTGGAAAATACCTCGATCACTTCACTTTTCTTCTTGATCAGGTAAGTCCACAACTTTCGACTGAAATCATCTATGAGTGTGACCAAGTATTTGTTACCTCCCATCGAATCTACCTGACTGGTCCACATACATCAGAGTATATGACTTCAAGAATATCCTTCGACCTGCTTCCTGCATCTTTGCTGAAGCTATTCTTGTGTTGCTTCTCCTGTACACATTCCTCACATACCTCGTATGGAATGTTAGTTTCTGGAAATCCTGAAACCATATTTCTTCTCTTTAAATCTCTGATGTCTCTGAAGTTGAGATGACCTAGTCGATAATGCCATATCCATTCATCTCTTCTAGCTGTAGTCGAAAGACACTTTTGCTCCATCACATTTAGTTCGATCTTGAAGGTTCTATTTTGAGACATATGAGCCTTCAAGATTAATCTTCCATTTGCCGACGACTCTTATCATCTTATCTTTGATCGACACTTTATAGTTCTTTTCGACCAACTGTCCTATACTAAGCAAATTGCTCTTCGTGCCTGGTATGTACAACACATTGGAAATTACTGACCTCTTGCCATCTTTCCTCATAATCATAACATCATCAATACCTTCAGCTGCTAGGGTATTGTCATTTATTAATTTTACCATATTTTTTATTGAGGGCTTTATGTTGACAAACCAGTCTTTCCTTCCAGACATATGTGATGAATATCCTGAGTCCAAGTACCATTGGTCCTTGAATCTATCTTCATCTCTTGTTGTGACCATCAGCATCATCTCTTCTTCTTCATGTTTTGCAAACTTTGTATCACTTTCTTGATTCTTTCGTTTTTCTAGACAATCACTCGAATAGTGATCATACTTCTGAGAATTGTAACATTGAATGTGACTCTTGTCAAGTTTTCGATCACCACCTCTTCTTCTATTTGCAACACCACCTCTTTGGTTGCCTTGGTATAGTATTCTCTAATTCGACACGTTTCCTTTGTTCTAGTTTCCTTTACCATTTGATTTTTTGTAGCCACCTCTACCTCTGTCGAACCACTTTTCTTTGCCTTTGGTTTCTTTTTTTGAATGTGTCTACAAATCCACATCACTCTTCGACTTTCCTGCAACTCTTTCATTCATTCTTTGTTCATGAGATGCAAGCGTCCCTTGAAGCTCTTCCTTTGTCAATTTCGACAAGTCTTTCCCCACTTCTATATCCACCACCACATGGTCGAACTTAGGAGCCAAAGATCTCAAGATCTTCGAAACAACAACTTTTGTTGTTAATGTTTCTTCACATACCTTGATTTGATTCACTAGTTTTGTAACCCTAATGAAGAAATCAGATACGCTCTCAATATCTTCCATCTAAAGAAATTCATACATTCTTTTATGAGTTTGTAACCTCACTTATTTCACCTTTTCTGCACCACGAAAAGACTTCTCAAGAATCTCCCAAGCTTCTTTTGAAGATTCTGAACCACTCACTTTTTTGAAATTTTCTGGACTCAGACATTGATGAATTATAAAGAGTGCTTTATAACTCAGTTTCTCCAATTTTATGTGTTTCTTCTTTTCTTCTCCTGAAGCGTTTTATCCAAGCACTTCCAATCCATCCTTTACAAGATCCCAAAGACCTTGATACCTGAATAAAACTTTCATCTGTTTGCACCAATTTTGATAGTTACTTTCAGAATTGGTAGAGTTGCTGGATAATTTGCATTCTCATAACTCGCCATCGTGGACTCTTCAATCGTTCTTGATTGATACTTTCCTTGAATCGATTAACCAAGCTCTTGATACCAGATGTTAGAAATCTACCAAATATCTATGATGAATTTCTATCAATCTTGATGAACAAGATTGATATCACCACACAATGAGAATGAATTATGAGAAAAGAAAAGAAAAGAAAGAAGACAATTATTTTCTGCAGAGTTTCTCCCTGCCCACAAACTGTGGAAAACTTTGTTATTCATTTGCAACTGCAAATTCTGTGAATACAACTTAATTGACTTAATTATAAAATTAGGGGTTACTCCCTCTATTTATAGATTTAGGTTAGCTTGCTCCTACGCCAAAGCCCAAAACTATAAAATCCCAAAGTATCTATTTTAGATCTAAATCAAATCTATCTAAATCTAAAAAAAATCAAATTTGTGTGTAGCTTGCTTCGATCCACAAGCTCTTCGACTGGGCAATGACTTCCTTTGAGAAACCTACTTCAATCCACCTCTAAACCCTTCGATACATAGTTTCAATACAATCGAATTACAATTTAACAAATAATATTAGGCGAAAGAAAAAAAATTAATAAACAGGTCAAATAAAAACAAGACAAAAAGTCTTTAAAAGACAAGCAGAACTACCAACAGATAAATTTGATAAGATTCCAAGATAAGACCATCAATAAAGCAGAAGCCTTCACACACATGTTAGGATCACACCCTTAAAGAATTCAGAAGACACGCATAAGCCATTTTTGACACAAGCTAAGCATTGAATCCACTATCCAATTAAAGGAAGAATAAGCACACCCCATCAACATAAAAGAATCATAATATTGAGAAACAAGTGTGAGTTGGAATGAGAAAAAATGTGAGTTTTAAGTTCCACGTGTTTTGAAAAAATAAAGGTTAAGTGTTTTATAAAGGAGAGAAACCATACACCTATCACTTTAAAGTTTTAGGTGAATATGCGGTGTCTCTTTCATTTGTTTGGATAAGTCTTTTGACATTTAGGTGAGTGTTTGACTCAATGTGAATGCTCTCCATCATTATGACCCACCAACTAGTATCAAAACTAAGGTTTCGGTCAACGAATGAAGGAAAAGTAACAAAAAAATTGATCAGGAAAAAAAAGAAGAACAACAAAATCCTGATCAAGGAAGGAAGAAGGAAAAAAGATTGAAGAGTAGTAATTATACAAATGCGGCTAATCATTATAATAATCATAAACGCTTTGAAGATGAAATTGATGACAAAGTAAATATATGTGAGACTTTAGAAGAGGAGAGGGTTTGTTGGGTCAAATATTATCAAAGTTCCACATCGGGTATTAGGAAGAAAATAGAATTGGAGTTTTATTATAAATTTTAATAGTTAATTTAAGTTTATTCACAATAACAAAATATAGTCTTTTAGGTGTATTAGAGATTTGAGTAGTTATGTGTCTAGAGAAGTTTTTTATTTATTTTTTGTTCAAAAATAATTTGTTGAGAGAGTTTTTTATTTTTCAGTTCAAAAATAATTTTGTTTAGAGGATTTGCAATTCTGTGCAAAAATTGTAGTTAAGAGAGGATTTGCAATTTTTCCATCTAAAAATTATAGTTAAGAGAGGGTTTGTAATTTTTCCGTTCAAAATTTTAATTGAGAGAAGGTTTGTAATTTTTCCTTCAAAAAATTTAATTAAGAGAGGGTTTATAATTTTTCCGTCCAAAATTTTAATTGAGAGAGGGTTTGTAATTTCCCTTAAAAATTGTAAATGTACGAGAGATTTTTAATTTTGTTTAGTAAAAAAAAGTTAAAGTTGAATAATGAGTTTGTGAATTTTTTTTCTTTTTTTTTTTTCTATTTTTATGGATTCAGTGTGCGCAAAAATTTGTTTATTTTTTGTTATTTTTTTAATATTAGTGGAATCAAAGTTCGGTTCGAGTAAGAGATTGACTCCTTATATTGAAAGTATTTCTGATATAGTGGTCAAACGGCGTGCCCCATTGTAATATCCATGACGAGTAAAAGTGTCTGTCAACGACGGTACAAGCATGTGGACGAAAGACCTTTCGCTTGAGAGAGAACATAGTGGATGGACTCGCACTTGAGAAAAAGATTATTGAAAAACAAGTGTCAGTTGCGTTGAGAAATAAGTGTGAGTTCTTAGTCTCTCGTATTGCTTAGAAAAATAAAAGTTAAACACTTTATAACTTAGAGGATCTATACATCTATCACGTTAAAGTTTTTGATAAATATAAAGTGTCTCTTTCATTTATTTATGTGAGTCTTTAAAATTTGAGTGAATGTTTGATTATTCAACATAAATGTCTCTCTCTCGACACACTAAATATTTGTTCAAAATATGAACCATATTAAATATATGTCTTCCCATTGGACTTCGACGCTTGTTGTTAACATATTAAATGATAGAGATTGAATTGCTTTGAGAGAGTCTTCAAAAGTATAAATATATAGTAATATGATATGATACAAATAGAAGATATTATAAATAATATAAACATGAGTTGAGAAAATAAATAGAGAGCTTAAAATATGATATTTATTAAAGCAAGAGAATATATAGGTGAAGAGAGAGAGAGAGGAGAGAATATAAAATCTAGCTATAACTATAGGTGTAAAAACATATTGAAATCTATACATGCAGAATCTAATCAATCCAGCGAGGCAAACAGCATGATCTGCATATATAAAAACAACACTTGGGCAGTGGAATTTTCATTTCTTCCGGGATTTGCAAAATCAAACAGCTAGCTTATAGCTTGATAATGGATTACACTGGATCTTCTTCTTCATCATCATCAAGAAAAGGAAAGAAGAACAATAATTCAGAAAATAGTAAACCAAGAAAGCAACCACAAAGAGGACTCGGTGTTGCTCAGTTGGAGAAAATCAGAATATTGCATTCTCAATTGCATCATCAACCACCTCATCCTCCTCCTTATTTCAACTACAATGTAATTATATTATTCAACTTCTCATTCTTTTGCTTTTTTTACTATATAGATTATTGAATTCTTGAATTGTGAAATTCAATGCAGGAAGATCCAAGACTACTGCAAATGCCTGCATATTCATCATCATCATCATCATACTATCAACCTCACACTATCAACATACCTGAATATGAAAGATCAAACTTCAGATATGCTGGTTCTCAACATGGCAATATCAACCACTGCTCTCCTGGTCAAACAAACATAACTCAACCATTTCTAAATCTATATGTAAGCATTGCATTTTCATTTATGTAGTTATGTACTAGTTAATTTTCTGTGAATTCAAAATAACTGTGTTTTTGGAACTTGATGTATACTTATAGGACTCGCAAGACATGAATATGCATAGAAGTGATTCTTTGGATTTGGAATCGAGTGAAACTCAAGAACCAGATTTGGAGCTCAGATTATCTCTCTATTAATTCATTTCTGATGCTATATTTAAACGTTTTTATTTACAATTCTAATCATTGTAAAAGAACAAGTGTTTTGTTTTACAGTTTCAACCGTTGGAATTTTAACGGGATAGCCAATAGACAGAGACATTGCACAAAAATATTAATGTAGTATATATTTACATGTGTGATTGATAAAAAAAACATTTTACCTTTATATCCATGAGAATCGATGAAAGGGCAAATATGAGAGGATAATTATCATATGTTAATGTCTATTGGAATAACAGTCAAATATTAAAACGGTTGAGAACAAAATGTTCTACTATTAAACAGTCAAAACCATTACAATTGTGTGAAACATAACTTGTCAAGCATTCAAATATTAAAAGCATAACGTTCTGGAATATGAAAAAGAGATAAATGCGGAAGTTGCGGTAGAGTAGAGTTTCTGATGCGGTGGGATTGGGGTGTACCTATAAGATTAACATTTCGATGCTCAATTTAGTATGTGAAAGAATAGAGAGTGTTCGAATTGTGTGTGAAATTTGTTACCTGAAATGAAGTTATATATATTTGGGAAAAGGATAACAATCTCGCTATCTTTCAACCGTGAAATGTGAAGGACTGTTGGATGCGTCTGAGGCAGAAATCTCCTGCAGCGAGGTGCAGTATAGACTCTTGATAAGGAGAAGATTCTAGAAGCGTGACCATGTAGTCGGTTGACAGGTTTCAGCTCGGAGCGGCCTATCTCAGAGTGGTCGGTTCGACAGAGATATGGTTAGTCCAAAATAGTTACTCCTCAAGCCCTTGTACTTGAATATCAAGGTGATAGTTTGGAGAATTTCTCCCTCGGATCCAGATCACCCTTCTTCATACTTCTACTGTTTGGAACGTCAAACGTCTATTCGGAGGCGTCATTATGATAATTCTTGGGAACTGAAACACGTGAGTGTTACGTGCAAGAAACGCGATCATTGGTAGGACACATTTCTTTCCATGTTGCCAGCACATAAGTGTAGGAAGAACTATAGTCACTTCCTTAAGACTTTTCTTTCCTATTCATTCTTGAGTAGTTACCTCTTTTTCCCTTGGAAACTTTTTCTTCTTGTACTTCAGAACTTTAGCGCAATATAGCTAAAAAATCGCGGAAGAATGTGAAGGGGAACTTGGCGAATTCAACATCTCCATGGAAAGGTTCTGTATACTCTTCTAATGTGTTTGTTTTTACCAAAGAGGATAGCCTGGATAAGGCTTTTCTTGAAGTGAGGGAACTGTCGCTTTGGGGTTTCACTATCCCTAGTGAGGACGAAATAATATGCAGTGAGTATGGTAACTATACCATCCCTCTATATGAATATCTATTCTCGACCTCGAATGCTTGCTTGCCCATTTTTGTTTTTGAGGTTGTTGTTTTTAATTACTTGATGGTGGCTCCTTCACAACTTTATCCATCGAGTTAGTAGTACATAAAGGCCTATCAGTACTTGTGTGAATATCTGAAGGGGAACCCCTTTGTCACCTTGTTTTTTCTTCTATGTTACTGCTACCGGGGTACCCTGGCCCGCCTGAGAAAATGGGAGTTGGTTCTCTTGGTACAAATGATACATGTCTTTAAAGACTTTCCTGTCTTGCCGCCCTTTCCATACCGGTTCTTCTAGGTTACACCCCTCCATCCCCTGGCTCATGCGACCATTTATGGGGCCGAGCCATGAGTAGGAGGTAAGTTCAAACCTCTATTTTCTCATTGATGGTCGGTGAAGCATTTCCTCTTGGAGAACGACACCTATGTTTAGATGGAGGAAGATTGTTCTTATGAGGACTCTTATCAAAAGAAGAAACTTCTAGACTTTGTTAATCAATTTGGGTAATCTTGGTGGTGTAGTTCCCTCGGTTGATATCGATAAAAAAATACTTTAATCGTCTGATAGATGTTTCATTATTGATATGGGCCCACTCTCGTGAGGATTGTTGAATTGCCTTTGGTAAGTTTGAAGTTTCCTCTATCCTTTTGTTGTTGGTTTGCCCCGTCTTTGGGTGCATATCTAGATACATTCTTGTTTCCGTGCAGATGTAGTGGAAGAGGAAGTGAGGGTCCGAGTCCTGAAGCGGGGAATACAACCATCTAATGTTGCAGTAGACTCTTCTCTTTCTTCAGATCCTCCTCGGAATGTTGCTCTTTTACATGCACCTACTTTGCAAACGGATCCTGGGACTCGTCTTGGTCCTTCTCGAGACCGTAAGGATTCAACCTTCGATGACGATTGGGCGTTTTTTACCAATCTCTCTAGTTAGGCTCTGGCGTAGGAGTTGACTAGTTTGGAGAGTTCTACTAGGAGAGCTTTTGTTGCTCTAACTCTAGGCAGATTTGGCTGTTGGGAAGCTCTTTGGGCATACTAGGCACGCAATGAAAAGCGTCAGTTGGAGAGGAGTGTGAACATCTCGACTTTCCAATTGGATACATATTTAAGAGAGCTGCATAAGGCTTTCACTTTTTGCAAGAGTTAAACAAAGTCAGAGCTCCGTTCAATTTCTCTGGTACTACGGCTTGAAGAAGTGAAAAACACAAGAAGGGGGGTTGAATTGTAAAAACTTGAAATCAATTGCAGTCAACACAATATTTTTATCCTGGTTCGTTTGATCTCAAACTACTCCAGTCCATCCGTCAAGGTGATTTCGCCTCTCTCCAACGAGGTCTTAATCCACTATATTCAATTGAATATTACAACTGCTTTAACAACTGCTAAAGCCTTCTTGAGTCAAACCACAAACCGGTTTCTCAAGGAAATACTTTCTTACAAATAATTGAAATCTAAGTGTGTTGAATGTTTTCTACAAAAACTGTTTATCACAACTGTGATACTACACAATTTAAGCTTATGAGAACTAGAATGCTAAAATAATTGAGTAAAGAATTTGAGAGCTTTTAGCAAACTAAGAGTGAGGAAGATGATGAATAGCTTTAGGCGTGTAGAGTGTTGTAGAGCATTTGCCAATTCAATCTTCATTGACTTGTTTATATAGCATTGGAAATAAGGTACGTTGGAGTAGTAATTCCGTTTCAATGCCAATAACATTCTTTCCTTATTAAGCAGATCTTGTCTGGAATGATGCCGTTGGTAATAAAGCATCTTGAATGCACAGTACCGTTGCCACTTAAGTGTGTTCTGGCTTTGGCTCATTCTGACGCTGCTTAGGTGCTGATGAACTGTTGTTTTCTAGATCAGAGTTCAGATGGTTAAGCGCAGATCTGTTCATCAAGCTTCAGCGTAAGCACAAGTTGATCTTCTGATTCTGGTATCTGCTATAACATCTTCTGATGCTGATGTTGATATCTCATTTTCTGATGCTGATGATGATGTTCTCTTGCTGATACCCATCAGAGTTTCTGTAAAACAGAATGTAATTTTTAGGCAGCATATATGTCTTTACATGAATCATACAATTAATATATCTTAGCATTTTGTTATCATCAAAACTTAAACTTAGGGTAGTAGATTCAAACTTTGTTCTAACAATCTCCCCCTTTTTGATGATGACAAAAACTAGATATTTTTTAATTGAAAATTAACGTGAAATGTATCAGAGATAACCAAATGGTAAATTGTATCAGAATTAAATAGGAAGTTATCAAAGATAAGGGATAAAGAGATATCCGAGTTTAGATCGGAGATACTCCCCCTGAATTTATTACTTCCCTTTTTAATTCCAAGAGTTCTTCAGGATCAGATCTTTATTGACTTTCTTTGAATATCAGAGCTTCAGATCAGAATATCAGAGCTTCAGAGTATCAGAGATGATTAACTTCTTGTACCTGTAAGCTTATGCAAAACAGAAAACATTCAAGTATATCAGAGTGTTAGAATGTTTGAGACTTTTTGTCTCAGTAATCCGTATTTGAAAAATATCATTCTTGTTCTCCCCCTTTTTGTCAGCAATCAAAAAGTGTAAGTAATATAAGCTAAAACGATCAGAGCAGAAAAACTGTTATATTTAATTCAGAGCCAGACAAACAGTACAGATGATATGCAAAGAAAACAATGAAAATATCATGAATGAAAATCTAAGGTTGGGGTGGAAGGCGCGTGAACAGAGTCTCTAGCATTGTCTTAATCTGATCAGCAGTTTCATTCTGCTTGTGCACCATGCTGACTACTGTATCAATCTTGCTGTCTTGCACATCCATCCTTTCCTTCATCTTCTGATCATTCTCATCCATTTTTTGCTGCAGACGAATATCATTCTGCTTCAGCTCTTCCAGAGTCTGCCTGTCCAGGGCAGCTTGAGAAACGTCAGAAGCAGGATACTTCTGAGAGCTTTCTGCAACATCTTCAGCTTGACTAACCTCTTCAGCTTGAATAGTCTGACCTTCTGCTGGCTGCACTTTTGAATCTGGACGCTTCTCAGACCATGGCTCACTATCCAGAAAGAGCACTTCGTCCTGTGGCAGCTGACTTTCAACTTCCTTCAGCAGTTTGCTAAAGTTCTGTTGTGCCTGTTCATAATTGATCTCTTGCAGCTTGAGGGCTTCAGCGCGTACCCACTTTCTGAATTGAGTCCAGAGATGGTATGAAGCGGCAGGGTCAATCATTCCAGGACAAACCTGCTTTAGAGAAGCAATCCAATTCTGCAAGCCTGTTTCAAAATTCAAAATGCCAGCACCAACATCTAGTTGTTTGGGTTTGGGGATGGCTATTTTGTGTTTAAGGCCAGCAAGACGGTTAAGGCTTGTTAAATCAATAAAGGTCCTGCTGTGGTCTTTAGTATTTTGTTTGGGAGATGGAGTGGGAGAATCAGAAATGATTATTGGACTGTGTGGAGTATTGGGAGGGGTAGTTTCTGGTGAGGATGGCAGCTGGGGTATGTTTACAGTTTTACCACATGGCAGCTGAATTGCCAAGGGTTGAGGTTCAGAGGATTGAGGAGAATGAGGTTCAGGAGTTTGATGTTCAGGTGATGGAGTTTCAGAGTGTTGAAACTCAGGTTGTGGAGGTGATGGTTGAGGTGAGAGTGGATGAAGTTCTGGT